TTCGATGATTTTGCCCCGTTGTAAAAATCCTACAGTCCACTATTGCAGTAGCCAAGAAGTCGTGCAGCAGACCCGATTACTGCATCATTCTTTCTGATGTCAGTAGATCATGACACCAACCTGTTACTTTGTACATTAAAAGTAACTATCTACTTATGACTGGTCTGATGGTCAATGTAACTGATAAATAAATGAAATGGCGTTACCCACGTGATAAAGTCAGTGACGTGTCGCATTGTTTATTTTGTTTACAGTGTACTCGTGTTTGATACAAAGTCAAAGTCAATGTCAATAGAAAGAAGATTTTGATAATAGCCTTAATGTAAACGAGCCTATACTCCAACACAGGTTATAAATTCCTAATTTTGTTGCATCTGAGACATTATTTCTAAGACTGCACCGTTGGTGCGGGTGCTGGTAAGCAGCTGTCGTGCAACGTGCAACGGGTTCGATTCCCGCACAGAGCAACTCTTTGTTTGATCCTCAAGTTATTGTTCCGGGTCTGGGGTGTGCATCCTTGCGTGGAGCAACGTTTTTTTAACAATAAAAATACTAATAAAAAAGTAAATTTATAAAAATTACCTGACTCTATTTTCTAATCAGAATCGGTACTTACTTCATACTTAACAAACACTATAAAATTAGTTTCAATAACAACATTACCATAGATACCCACTGGAAGTAAACAGAAGAGATTTCAAGTGACGCCATTCTCAAGATTAATTGGCCGAGGGCCCTCAACTCCTACAGTTTAGATCCGATAAGCTGCTTAACGAGAAATAACTAACAAAATAATAAAACGACTTTAGGAAACGCCAAATCCTAAATTGAAAATCCTACAGTGAAAGTTTTATTACCACAAAATGTCAGAGTTATTAATCTGAAGAGTTCAAACGTTTATTTGAAGATGAAATACTTCCAATGGACTCAAATAATTTCGTAGATTTGATGTCTTCTTCGCCACGGTCTGTGGATTGACCGCAAAGTAATGAATGCTATAAATAACACAATCATATTTTGGTTTATCTGAGTACATTCCGGTTATTGGATAGTTGTCGTATCTACAACTGGATTAGGGAAAAGATATATTTACCTACTTTCTGCTCAGTTACTAGCAGCTAGCAGGAAGCCTTACTATTATTAAATTTATCTAGGTGTGAAACCGTTCCGAACTTTCCGTTACATCTTAATTAGTAAAACTTGGCTAGAGAGAGAATACTTTAACATTTTTTCTTCCTAAAGTTGCGCTGGTTTCCGTATACCTACTATAAGTAATTAAACAGATTTATTAATTGACTAAAAATCGCGGGCTGCTGTCGTGAAAATACTGACAAAAGCTCTACTAGTTTCGAACCACAGAGGGGTTCTTCTTCATGAGCAGCAAATTCTCTCGAGAATTTTGTAATTACTCTTGGAGCTGTAATTGTTCTAGATGCCTAGTAGGTACTCATTGGTACACGAGTTCGATATAATCTCATAATATGTTTGCAGTTTTCTTAGTTCTGAACGTGTTAACAACATGTTAGTTGCACAAACATCCACTTCTCGTAATTGGTCGTAAAATATACTGACTCACTTATGTTTTCAACAAAACTTGGGACCTGAATCGTGTTGATACTTAAATAATAAATATATAAGTTTTTTTCGTCTTTGAAATTACCTACATGATTGCATTAACAAAAGTTGTTAGTTTTCAGGTTTTTATTTTAGACAATTCCATTAGGTATTGGAAAAAAGCTTCCTTTTTTACATTAATAAACTTAGTGAAAATTTCTCTTAGCAATCATAGCCGTAGTATTCGTTGCGGTAAATTAGCTTGGAGTTCAGTACGTATGTCATTAAATCAAACTAATTAATTGCTTAAGTTAAATTACTGTTGTAATGGATTAGGTTTATTTACACCTAAAGATAGAATTTTCTAAACTCCTCATTCAGACAAACCTACTTATTTCACAGTACACGTTACTGAAGGTACCTATATCACTAAACATTAATAATTGTTCGTCTCACTTCAAATTAGAAGATACGTGTTACTATAACCGCTAACTGGCTACAAATAATATTTACATTTCCTGCCTCTAAACGAAGTAGTAAAGTCTAATAAGGACTGAACTAAACATACAAATTAATTCTGTCCACTATTAAAGTGAAATCGCAAATGTTTTTGCATATTTCTGGATTACACGGTGTGAACAACGCTGATGGCTTCATTTGGTTTGTTTATTTTGGCTATTCACATGTTTTAAAAATGGCTCTAGTGGCCGAGTTACCTACTATATTTATGGCGTTATGTAACAATACCTGCTAGATAAAATTTACTAAACCTAAATGCTTTTTGAAGTAATGACCAACTATAGCCAAAGAGGGAGTGTAGGCAAACGATGCGCCTAATCCATACGTTTTACCAATCTAGATAAAATTGATTATGTTAGTAGTCTTCGAGCTTAGTATTGAAGGAAAATATTTAGCTAAGGATGCATATAACCTATGTATAAGACACGTGAAGTGTCGCGTGAGTTCAGAAAGAGTAGAGAATATTGATTGAGGAATGAATAATGTTACTTAATTCTAACTACGAGTATTTTGTTTAATTCAAAGTAAATAATGCTAAGTGCACTTTTGATAAAATACTACGGTTTACGGAGTACCAGGTATAGTTCGTGATTTACTCAAGATGAAGTTTTTAATATTTTCCTGTTCTTCAGCAATAAACTTCAATGATCGACTGGGCAGTAACAATTTATGCATTAAAGTAAATAGTAATCAGAGACCAACAATAGAGTATTTAATTTTTTAAATGCACAACAATGAAGACTTAGCTGAAGGTTAATAAATCAAATTAACGGGATTAGTAATTACAAGTACTTATTGCTTATAATAGGTAGTTGCTGCAATGGGTGGCTGAAACACAGTGCTTGGCAACATTGCAAACGTTACCGTTACCGGCAATATGGCATTTATACCTCGGACAACATTCACCAATTTTTCATTTGTAATGATCTGTAGCCACATGTTGCAGATAAATATTCTCTTGTTGTTTTTAAGGGGGGGAAATCATCGAGGGTTTGCTCCCGCCTGGGTGAGGCGGAAGGGAGTATCAGACTCTAACTGACTAAAAACCACCCCGTTCCTTCTCCTGCACTTCGAGCCAGAGCACCGGTAACCCGTTAGGTTCTCCGCGACAAATATTCTCTTGTTTAGTAGCAACTGAATACACTTATTTCCACCTAAGTCTCCTACCTAAGAGTAAGACTTTAATCCCTGTTTTCACCTACCTCTCCTAAATGTTAATCGTTAATGGAATCTCTAAGCTACAGCAGGTGTTATTTTGGTTACACCAACCTATAAGTGACACCTACCAGTACAAATAAGGGGTTAGTTCAGATGCTAAGTACCTAAAAGATGGTTTAAAGGGTGATTGATGAAATCAGCTATTAATGTCTTATTCAAGTCCCAAACTAATTTATTGGAAATACATTAAATATTGGATTGTAACATTTAGTTATTGTTTCTTACATGTTAATTTCTTACAGATTTTATCATGTTACAAAAAATCCAGACATGTTACTTTGCATAACAAAAAAGACAAGTTTGGACTGAACTTTTTGCGACAGCTATTGTTTTTGCACAAGGTTATTTTTGTTATGGTGCATGTATTTACTACCTGTTTAGCTACTGCGCACTAAAAAGTTATTTTACTACATACAAACATAACTTCACATTACGCCACTTAATGCCACTGTCCAATGTAACACCCACTTTTCACTATTTTATATCTACAAGTTTCTAATTCCTGGTCCAGTTTTAGGTACAATTTTCCTAAATCATTTTATAATTTATATTCATAGTGGTATTTAAGATGTGATCGATTGTATTACCCATAACATAATACAGCTCTAATTAACATATAGGTAAGGAAAAACCAGAGGGAAATAAGATAGGCTAAGGCAGGTTGTAATTTCAAATCGAATTGTTACAATGATCAGGGTGCTTACTCTTGAAACCAATCTCAATGTCAATGCAATTTTAATCCAATAAAATCTCAATAATTAATCAATGTCAAAACTATACAACCCCTATCGTAGCTGTTACAATAGCATTCAGAGTACGGAATATAAAGCCAAACTCAATACCATTTAGTTCATTCAATATCCACGCAATACGGATGCAATGGGCGCTAGTGTTGGAACTCGAGAGTACGAAATATCACAATTCCAATGTCGATCGATCGGAATTGGATTCAAGAGTAAGCCCCCTAATCACTGTTATGGTGTATTTTAGTTACCTAATTTGTTTAAGCAAATTCACGAGCCTGCTTTAATTATGTAGACTCCTATTATCTGACCGAGATAAGGAGATACTTAATAAGTAGGTACATGGCCAGGCTAAATAGTTACATTAACTTGATATTTTTATGTAACAAAAAAGGATTACAATGATTATCATTGTAATTGTCTATCATAACTTCATAAGTAATGACTATGCTAATTTAAATACCTACCTGTTAATTTCTATTTTACACACATAAATTAAGTGTTAAGTAGTAAGTACCTACTTATGCGTTATATTTCGGAGTAAACAAGCAAAATGAGAGATTACACATTAATTTTCTCGAAAATTACCAGGTAATTCGAACCGGAATTATTTTGTATATTTTCCAACAAGGTGTAATCCTCTAAGGATGAACTCTCACGTTAATGAGGTTTTAGTGCATATTGGATGTTATTTTGGTATAGAATTTATGTTTCATAATAACGAATAATAAATTATTTTAAGTTACCTATTCGTAGTAATAAGGGATATTGAACACAACTTTTTATTATGCACCGACCCCAAATAACTTGAAATCGGAGATATATCTACTCCAAGCGGAAAACAGCAGATATATCTACTTAGTCTTAAATATTTCGTTGTTTATGTACAAATAAAGTTATTTATTTTATGTTAAATATTGTGTAAAATTAGGTAACATCAATATGACCGTATTCTCTTCTTTCCAGAACCTTCGCGTGACAACAATCATCGGTTCGTTCGGGACGTGTTTGGGAGCATGGCTGAAGGTGTTCTCCGTGCCCCAGGACATGTTCTGGCTGGGTTTCACTGGCCAGACTGTGGTGGCAGTCTCCCAGGTGTTCATACTCAACGTACCGCCGCGTCTGGCAGCTGTCTGGTTCGGAGCTGATCAGGTCTCGTCTGCCTGCAGTATCGGCGTGTTTGGGAATCAGGTATGTTACTTATAAATGTTAGTTAACTGTAAAAAAAAACTGTTTTCCAACAGAAACTTCCAAAATGAAGTAGATGCAAATTAAATAGAATAAAATGGTGTTCGAATATAAAGATGTCGACATAGGGAGTAGGATGGCTTAATCTTGGCAACAAAAGACTTTCCTACACGAGGATATTTATTTAATTTATTTACAATAATGTCTGTGCCGACGAGTGCTACGGACATTTGATAACATCTACATAGAGACTTCGAATGAACTAAAACCTCTTTTCTGCGGTCTATTTTATACATTGTCTCCTACTGGTGGTTTGTTTATTTTATAGCCCGACATTTTGTTTTGGGAACTTCCAATAAAACTACTAAAACTTTGAAAGGCTTGGAAAAATAAATAAATCAAATTAAATCTGACATGAGCCAACAGGATCTTTATAAATCGGACAGAAAGTAGGGAACTGCATCAGGAATTACCCAACCATTTTTATTCCTCTCTGGAGTCTGAAAATAAAACGCAAAGCAAATAGAATCCCTGGTCCTAAAACAAATAAATCAGAGTTAATATAAACGTGGTACCTCTTTTATCCCTTGAGGATAAAAACCCGTTAATTACAACTCCCAGAGTTTGCTTTCTGGTGAAACTTTTTGCGTTTGTTTCTGGTATCGTTGTCATTTCAAGCTGATGTGTTTCGAACTTTGGGATTTACGTCGAATATTTAAAGAGGGTTTCACTCATACGTTTGAATACTGATACTTCTCTCTGCATATTAGTACTTATAATTTTCTCACGTGGGAGTACAGTTTTTGATTAAATTGAGTTTTACTAAGGATACTTAAATTGTTTACAGATTAACCACCTTGGAAGCCATCAACGTATCGCTTATTTTAACATTAAAACAACTTGAAAGAGTAATATAAAATACTTATGTAGTTAGGTACGTGTTTTATGTTCTGACTGACAATAACACAAATAACAACAACATTTTCTGTAACAAATCGTCGCATCACATAATGGTCGATTTCCAGGTGCGCGTACGCACGCGAAGTAAATTGGTGTCGTTTGTGGCATGCGCATGACCATGATCGAGGTAAATGTTGTATAATTTCATAAATGCGATACTTAATGTTGTTGCAAATAACATATAATATTATTGCGAAATTGTTATAATATCAAATTCATTGATAATTGTGACATTATGTTTTTTCTTATTGGTTCGACACTGCGATTCGAAAATCGAATTTAAAGTCATATTGGTTCATTTGCGGTGAACCTATAGTCACATTCTAAAATTAGAGAAAACATAACATAACATAACATAACATAACATCACGCCTTTTATCCCCGAAGAGGTAGGCAGAGGTGCACATTATGCCACTGTAGAGGTACAATGTAACACCCACTTTTCACTATTTATGTTATGAGTCCCATGTAATAGGGGGTGAGCCTATTGTAATTAGAGAAAACCTAAAGCGGTATCTCAAAGATAAGATGAACCTAAAGCCGTATATCATAATTGAGGAGCTCTATAGGTACCTACAGAGGTAATGCCTACTATAGAGTAGGCATTATCTATAGAGATGATGTATTGTAATGCAATACATTAGATATTATCATTTTTGTCATCAAAACCATAGACACATAATAATGTACTTATCCAATCAAAATAAACATACAGTAAGTATTATAATATTTTTCCACCTCTCTGCATCGGTACGGGGAAACCTTTTCACATTGCTGACTCATTGATTTGGATATAGTTTCTAAAACCCGAGTGATCCTTTCCTCAGCGGATTGAATGTATGACCCCGTGATATCCAGCTCAACGCACACTTCGTATCATGATATCAATCCACATTCATGGAGTTATTGGCCCATGAAATATAGTATAGGGTTGGCGAGTGTCATTGTACCGATGACTTGAATTAAGTATATACCTATGTGTGCGTATAGCTAGAGTACAGTCAGCCAAGTCATTTAGTAACACATTTGATTAAATTGCTGTTGTTACATTAAATTACGTATCTACGCAGTCTTCGTACCCAGTGAAATATTATTTTCTTATATAAATATGAAATAACTTGGATATGCTGTACCTATGTATTCTGAATAGATATTTGAGTTGATTTTAATAAATATTAGTGTCACACGGATCTGAATGAAAAATTTGCACGTGAGTGATGGGGGAAGAGGCTCGTATGATTATGTCAGATTAGCAATAAACGATGCTTATAACATTGTTTGTTGTTGTTTATCATTCTGTTATTATGTATGTATTTAAAATTTTCAAGCACTTCAGAAAAGTACCTCAAACATTATCAAGTGCATTAGGTACTATTTGATAACAGACTGAAGGTGAAAACACAATGCATTCACACACAAAGGTACTTCAAATAATTAATCTGTAAGTAACTGAATACAAAAAGTAATCAGTCTTATTGATAAATACGTGGAAAACTGATTTCAATTTGAAATTTTAATCAAACTCCAAAATCGATAAACGCAAAGACAAACTGCAAAGACTGAAATGAATCTTTGACTGGCGTCAGGTTCGAAAATTGATTAAAATTTCTTTTCTTTTAACATAACATAGGTAATGTTATACTAATAGAGTAATGACACTTCTGATTTAACTCGTTGAGTACCGTCATTATAGACACAATTAAAATTAGAACATAATTATCAATATCGGATAAATAATTCAATGATCCAATATTAATCTCAGTACTATAAACTCGATTAGTTTACCTTCGTTCAGTGTCAATTAGCATTAATTGCCATCAGTTTTCCCTGTATTTCCAAGTTTATCCAATACAAACTCTTTGGTAGCGAGTCGATTATTAGCTAGAGCTGCCTCAGTAAGTACTGATCAGCCGATAATGGAATCTTTAATGAGGAGTACTCGTATAAAGGATAAAACGGCTTGTGTAGTTTGCTTACATTTTAATTATAGAGCAAATGGCTACTGCAATGCTGTGATTAAGTGTTACTAAGATATCTTACGTACTAGTGAGACTGTACTGAAGGGTTTTTTTTATATTTGATGGGTCGACGTTTAACCACTATCTCGCCTGATGGTAAGCGATGATGCGATCTACGATGGAGCACGTCGTCCCGTAAGCAACCTATTCACTCTGGCCTTGAAGACTCCCAAGTTATACCCTTCAGATAATACAGACTCTGACTCTTTAGCAGTACGTACAAGGAATCTTGATGCGAAGCGCTTCGTGCATGTGGGTGGAACATCTACCATGAAACGGTGACGCTTCGCCGATTGTCTTGATTTTTTAAACACAATGTCCTAAGTTACATTTTCGACTTGTGAACAAACATGAATTGGTCCCGGCAAGAACTAAATCGTCATAGCGCAGCAGCTGATTTCCTAGTCACTGTGACACTGTGCCTTGATGCTCTCAGTACAAGAATTTACAGTTTTAAATAGTTTCTAGAAGAGAGTTCCTGTTGTGTATTGGTAGTAGAGTAGTGTCACTAGTATCTACTTGTAATAAGTGACTCATAGAGACTTAAGAAATAGATGAATGAGTTACAATTGTAATTGCTATGCGTAGTAATTACCGTTGTTAGTATTTAGTATTGATGGTATTGATGACTCATAAGTAACAAAGATATAATCTGCGTGCTATGGTACTTTAGTTACATAATAATATTCTACAGTTGGTTGGAACAAAAAATTATAATTTGTGTACTAACAGTGTGCGTTCACCTTCGTCAAATTATGATGATAATGAGACAGAACCCGTTGTTAGTGTCATTATGTACCAGATACCAGCTGTTACTGCCTGTGTCTATTTATGTTTAGCACGTGCTTATTTTCTTACAGTTTTCGCAATTTTTTGATGAACTAAATATATTTTATCGTCCCTCTAGCCGCGCCTCTCTGCTCTGCTTCCTGTATTCATACTTTCATTTTTAGATCAAATAACAAATTAAAAACCAAAATTTCAAATGTGTACCGTCTGCCTTCTATAAGTACTCTACTACCCAGGTAACGCAAATCGAGAACTAATCTAAGACATTATGAAGTTCATAGTCAGCAGGCTGTCTTACGATCTCAACACGCAGGATAAGTAGCTCATATTCAATTCAAAATGAAATTGATAACAATCACGATCATCAAAGTTCTTTGTTTCATCCTCAATATAAAAGAGAAAAACCTTTAAATGTATAACAAAGAGAAAAGTTTGAACGAAATCTTTGAATAAATTCATTATAAGTTTCAAAGATTTTTACGGGATTAGCTTGATGGCTGAGCTTATAAGGAAAATCGTAAAAGATTGGGAGAAACCTTGAGAACAAGTTTGTGTCGATAGGAGGATTTGTATGCTACTGACTTTTATTCACGACTCCTGTCTGTGGTTGGAGAAAACATGTGTTGGAAATAATAACAGCCTGGTAGGAGAAGAATTAAGTCTTTTTGTCTATAGCTGTACTGTGTTATCTTTGAAATGCATATAATCAAATTATAATAAGTATCATCGGTGTATATGGTAGTGCGAAACATATTTTTAACACCGAAAGAAGGATATAAGTGTACCTAAATTTTACCTTCCTAAAGAACCTAACCTAGACCTCATTCTAGCAGTCATATTTGTAACTTATGTACTTCCAAAACTGTCGATACAAAGCAGTGCATATAATTAATGTGATTGAACCTTAGATCTTGATTAGATTGTATGGTGAACATCGAATTATCTTGTTATGAATTAACACGAAACATTCAAACTGTTAAAAACATGATCGTTTTAACCATATTGCTAATGAATTTCATTTGCATAACAATATCACGTTACTACGTTCCACTACTAATGTCAAATATTTGACATCAATTTGGCTATTCTGTATATCCAAATTATATGATATTATACTTATTGTGCAATACTTACATAGGTGCATTTTTCGTAATTGCCTGGACCCTGCTACATTCTAAGCATAGGTACATCACCTATGCTTAGTACCGTCTTTACCATAAGAGCACTCGGGGCCTG